CTCATCTGCATGCTTCCCTTTATAAATTACCAAGAAGACAGTGAAACAAACTGCAATATCATGAAAATATGCAACTAATTAAAAAAACTAATTGCGTAGAAGTTACATCAGTTTTCTTTGCTATTAGCCAGCTGCTTAATTTTAACATCTATACACATAAAATGCTTCATTCAACTAATTCCAGTGGGAGATATCTGTGCTACAGATAGATCTAGTGTGTTTATGCATTATGATTCCTGGCTTATCTTACCCTACTAACTACATAGTACTTCTGGTCATTCTTTTACCAAATGATTCAACTATTACAATGACTGGTCATCTACTGATATCAAATGCTCTGGAATTCACCAGTGAATATAACTGATAAATACCTTTAATTCAGTTTGACATTTAGAAATACATTTTGACTTGAAAAGACAAGTATTCAGTAGCAGTCTTTTTTTAAAAAAAAATCTTAAGGTTTGAATTCTAAACATGCAAATTAGGATTTGACAGATTTTAAGTAAATTACTCCACAGCTCAATGATTGCAAAGTAAAGCCTATGCTGTGTTAAAACAAATGAAGAGATAAGGATAAGAATTCTTAAATATACGAAGTCTTTAAAATCAAGAGGTACTTTTATTATCATTTCCATGCATCCTCTCTCCCTTCCCATTCTGAAGTGGAGTGTGTGTGTGTGTAGGCCAAGAGGACAAGAAAGAATATTTTGGGTTTTTGTTGTTTTTTTTTTTTTTTTGGGTGGGACCCTCGCCAGCGGCCGAACGGCGCTGCAGAGGCTGCGGGGGCCCTCTCAGCCCAGCGCTCAGCTACTGCGCCACCAGGGGAGGCCCCAGAGATACCATTACTTTTCAACCAGCATGGGAGAACTGTTATACTACAGGTGTTGTAAGTGAGAGACTGACGGCATCTCCTACACAATATCTAGAGAACTGCTAACTAGTTGGACTTAGTGAGCCACAATCTCATTGTGTAAGTTAACACCTGACAGTAAAAGTGAAATCAGTGAAACCAGCCCCTCAGGAATAAAAGAAGGGACCAGTTAATAATAGTAGCTACAAAACGTTATAGTGTCCAAACAGATTAACCCCTCATAAGACCAAATTCCACAGAAGTTTAGGTGCTAATTTTGGCACCTAAACAAAGTCAGTCTCTTAAAGTAATCATAGTAGAGTACTCTGAAAGGTCAACTTCCTATTTAGAAGGTGATAATATACCAACAGAGCACTGGAAATACAGCTTCCCAAAATGTGCTACCAGATAGTTCAAATGAATTTAAAACAAAGAGAAGAGGACAGAAAGGGGGCGAGGAGGAGAGTGCGTCAATGGGCCCGTTAAGTTAGATGTAAGGTGATTATATTGTGCTCCTGCATAGGCCATAGTAAAGAATGCAAAGTTGACACAAGTGAAAGAGTTCTAAAATAAATTAGAGGACCCAAGCAGCTCAACCACTTCAGAACTCCAATCTGGCTACAAACCAGAACAAGTAAACCAGTTTCTGGGGGGTGGGATCAGTCATAGGAATTTTGTAAAGCTCCCAGAGAGATTTCAAAGTGCAGCCACAGTTGAGAATCATTGCCCTTAACCTTGGTAGCAAAAAGGCAATAAAAAGATGATCCCCGAAAGTTATGTTTTCCAAATTACAAAAAAACTCATTAAAATGTAAATAATGACGTACAGACCTTGAACTTAAAAGTATTTACAATTATCACCAACTTTAAATTGAGTAAGGTGTAATAATAATCTGTCTCTAGTAGGTATCTAGCTGACCTATCATATAATTTGCAGTACCAAATAATCAGGACTTACATTATTAGATTCTAACCATCGTCTTAGTTTTATACAGGTAAGCACCACCCTAGTGTTTTATCCTCTCTCATGGCTAAAATGTTTTCCCAGATGCCAATCACACCATATAATAGTGTTAAGATGACACAACTTAAAATACCTTGTTCCTGAGAAACTGGAATTGAGCCACATTTCCCATCACCAAAATTACACATTTCATAATGAGAAAAAAATCCAAAAGTTCTAACAAATATGACTCATTATCAAGTATATGTTTTGGCATACAATGATGCAGACAGTATCACACTGAAAGTGGCTCAAGTGAATGATACCTAGACAGATTTGTAGTTGCTCTGAATTTCTCATTTTAAAAATTAAAATTAAAATTTTATCAATTATTGAGCAGAAAGCCCAAAATTTGATAATTTAACAAAACTGTACTAAATTCTATGTTATGTTGATCTAACTCCCGTAACTCTCATTTAATGTAGAAAACAGTGAAATCAATGAAGCGTTTTAGTCAGGAACTTAGTTTTATACATTAAGCATCATCTCAGAAGTCACCTTTACTCATCACTTAAACAAAAGAATATTTTTACACAATAATTAAACAAACTTTTAGAAAAAGAGGAAAGTATGTACAATGACCATTAAAATGGTTCATATGTTTAAAGAACCATCCACTCTTTATTTATTTATTTATTTATACTAGCACTGGGTACAGTCAGAAGCGGGGGAGGGTGAGAGAATTCACCAGAGCCAGAGCGGGGAGCAGAGCAGGCAGAAGGACTGAAGTACACTGCCTAGGGGAGCAGCGGGGCGGCAGGAGAGGTCTCTGCGCGCCATGCCCATGCGGGACCCTCCTCTGGTGGCCGGGGAGCAGCCAGGGATGGAACCGGTGCTGCAGAGGCTGCGGGCAGCTTCGCAACCCAGCGCTCAACCGCTGCGCCACCGGGGAGGCCCAGAACCATCCACTCTTAAATGACTGAATGACAAATTAAAAATGAAATGATAAATGAAAAAAAAAGTTAGGTATGTACTAGAGGGGAGCCAAGTATAAGTGAAGTAAGTTTAAGCATAATGTAAGAAAAATGATTATGTACTCACCAAAATAGGCAAAACAGACACAACAAACACGCATCTTAAATGGACCGAATGAGGCAGATCACAGAGGGTTAACTGCTCAAGCAGAGGCCTCAGCAATTCACAGCTCAATTAGAATAGTGTCTAATGATGTTACTATAACACCGGCTCAATCAGATAAAAACAGTTTCCAAGTTGGAGAGCTGTAGTGTGACTGGGCAGCATAAATTAGTCTAATACTTGCTCTTAAATTTGAGGGGGGAAAATTCTAAAGAATACAGAAAAAAGAATACAAACAGAAATAACCGAATAAAAATGTAGTTTCAGGGAAGCATAGTTTTTTAGAAATAAGATTTGCTCCTTCCTAATATAAGCAGAAATGCTTCAAGCAGCACAGTCATCAGAAAATGTCAATGACCCATATGAAACATTCAGAAAAATTTCAAAGTGACTTTCTCAACACAAACTTCATTCCGCAGTTTTTCCCTAAGCTCAAGATTTACAATGAAGTTACTTGGACAGAGAAATTTCTCCTTAGGCACTCCTGCTGCAAAAATAAAATTAACATGCTATACTTCCTTAAAGCAGTCTCACCCAAAAACCTGAAAAGCAAATAAAAAGCCACTTCCATTAAGACTCACAAAATCAATTTTTTCTAGAGAAGTTTTTAGTTTTAAGTCCAACAACTTAAACCTACATAATCCACTCACCTAAAGATACGCCAAATCTGAAATGCTTGGGCCTGTCTATATTATAGCTATAACAAACACACTTAAAGGAACAAAATCACGACGTTATGGAAGAAACATTAATGAGAAATTGTACTTTAAAATATTAATTACAGCAACCATTTACAACTCGAGATTACACGTACTAACCGTATCAGAACCTTCCAATACAGAGAATGAGTCTTTAGACCAAAAAGAAGTTACACTTTACAACTTCCTGTGTTATATTTCAACTGACATCAATTACACGCAGAACAACAAAGCAAATGAAACTTGTGAAATCTGCACTAAAAATTATTCATATACAATGTTCTAAATCTAACTGCTTTATGAAGGATGCATTTCTGAATTTTCTGTTAGAAAGACTAAGTGGTTTCTGCCAGGAAAAAGTACTGAACCTACTTGCTTTATAAACACCCAAATAATCAAGCTGCTACTGAGACTAAACGGATGTCAATTCTGGCAAAAGTCAAATACTGTTAACAAGTATCAGCCAAGACGCCATGCCTTTAGAAAATCAATTCAAACTAATTAAAATGATGCCCCATGATTTTCCCATTCCTTAAAAAAAAGGAAAAAAAAAACCAGTCGTTTCACCTCAAACTACAATGCAAAAACTAAAGGTATGAAGAATTTCAAAATAAATAAATTGGGAGTGTGTTCGTGCTTTTAATTCTAGTGGGGCTTTCATAAACAGCCATTATTCTTCAATAGGGTTTTTTTTTTCCTTTTTTTTTAGTCTCTATACCCGAAAAGAAACCCTTCAAGTTAACTAAACACACCCATTCTTCGAAAATCTAGCTTGAGAAATCCTAACAGCAGCCGGGCATGTGATGGAGCCGCCGCCCTCCACCGTGCATCCGTGTTGCCCCCGCACTCGCGGCCCGGGCGCCGGGACCCCCTCGCCGGGACCCCCTCGCCTGCTCCCGCGCGGCGCCGGGCGGGGCGGGGCGGGGGGCGGCAGGTCCGGGGGGCGCGTCCCCCCCGCCGCCGGCGCTCGCGGGGCTCTGCGAGTCCACGGACCCCAGCGAGAGGCGCGGCCGGGACGCACGACCGGGAAGAAACAAAGAGAAAACAAAAATCCGCTCGGGAGGAGCCGCGAGGACGGGGCAGCCACAACTTTGACGCGAGCGCCGCGCGCGCCCGGCCGGGCCGGGGCCTCCCCGGGGCAACAAAGGGGAGCCGGCCGCGGGGCCCCGACGCCGCCCGGACCCCCGACTCGCCCCGCGGGGCGTCCGGGCCGGGGGATGCCGGGCCCCGCGGCCCGGCCGGGCCCGTCCCGGCCGCGCTCCCCGCGGGCGGCCCCGCCGGCCCCCGCCCGCCCCGCCGAGCCCGCCCCGGGGCGGGGAAGCCGCGGGCGGGGCGCGCGGCCCGGGCCGAAGGGGAGGGACATGGCGCGTTACCTGGGCTCGGGCGGTGGCGAGGGGAGCCCGCTCTCCCGCCGCGGCTGCCGGGGCGCCGGGCCGCGCCCCCCGGGGCCGGGGCGCTCCTCCGACCGGCCCGCGGCGCCCGGGCCCGGCCGCCCCTCCTCGCGCGCCGCTCCCGCGCGGGCCGGCGCCTCGAGCTCCGGGTCGCCCCGCCGCGGGGCCTCTCTCGCGGGGCGCCCGGCTCCCCTCGCCGGCTCCCGCCCCCCGGGCGGCCGCGGAGGCGACGGGCGGGGGGGGGGGGCGCCGGGGGCGCGCGGGCTCCGCCGCCCGAGCCGCTCCGTTACCGCAGCGGCGGCGACGACCAGGGCCGTGTTGTTGCTGCCAACTTGTCGGGAGGCCACTGAGCATGCGCGCGCGAGACCACATCCGGGTAATTTCAGGGTTTGGCCCTTTTCCGCCCCCAAACACCCCCCCCACCCCGCCCCCGCACACACCCCCGGCACGCAGCTCGCCGCTCGCCCGCGGCCCCGCCTCCCGCCCGTGCGCCGGGGGCGCTCTGCGCAGGCGCTACCGGGGCCCGCGGCGGCCGCGGCCGGGCGCCCGGCTGGGTCCGGCCCCGGCGGAGGACGCGGCCCCGCGGCGGGCGGGCGCTGCGCGGAGGGTGTGGTCGTCCGAGGAGCTGGCGCCCCGCGGCGGAAAACACCCGAGCCTCGCGGGAGAGCGCGGGGGAGGAGGGGCGAAGCCCCTGGCCCGTCGCCGGGGTCCGAGGACCTGGTGGGCACAGGACTCAGACCGCAGAGCTGGCTCCGGGCAGAGCGTCGTAGCGGTTTTCCTGGGAAGAAGCTGACAGGGGCCGCGCCCCCTTCCCTTCCCGCCGGCCCCGGGCCACCAGATCCGCGGGTGTTTAACTCGCGAGGCTGCCCCGTGGGTGGAGGGGTGCGCGCCCTGCCCGGGAATCCCACGTTGCGAGCCCGGCCCGGTGTGCCGGGGGAGGGTCTCATTGAGCCGCAGAGGTCCCGGGACTTACAGGTCCCACCACGCACCTGCTGGCGAGGTTACCTGTTGGGGAGGGAAGTATAAACCTTGAATTTATACTTCTTTTATTTGAAAATGTAAGACAGATTGCTTTTATAATTAAAGAAGTTTCAGAAAACAATTGTATGCCCTTTTTTTTTTTTTCACCAATTGGGAAATATTTCCACTTGGGGTCCCACCAGAATTAATTTTAAGAAAGTCCTGAAGTTACTGGTTAAGTCGTGTGGCCCAGAAACTCACCAGTCCCTTACCTTTCACACAGTGTCCCAGCCCAGAATCCCATGTAGACCTTCTGGTAGTCACCACCGACTGGACTCTCCCCAATTTTATCAGAAACCCTCTACAAGTGCTGGCGTTAAGCTGGTGTTCAACTTACCGTTGCACATGAAGACGTTCCAAAACTGGTTTTAAGGGAATTCATTTCCAGATCTTCCTCTGCCACATGTACTTTTATCTAAAAGTGCTCAGCATGAGAAAGCACCTGGGGACACAGCATCCCCTTTCAAAACATCTTGCAATAGAAAGTCAAAACTCTTACCCATTACTAAGGTGCATCGACACAAGATGTAAAAACCTCCAGGGCAATTCAAATGGATAATTCAGAAACTGGGGGCTGTGCTGAGAAAGTGAGCCAAGTGAATGGGTCATAAATTCTTTTGCAAGTCAAGTGGTTTCTAGTTTTTTGCTATCAACAAAATTGAGGGAAATGCTAAGGAGGTGATTTGATCATAGTTCAATCTGTGATTCTTAGGTAATATACTTAAGAAGGAGCTGAAAGAATTGGAAACTTTGCTGTAACTAAACTTCCATTGCCATCTGTATTTGTTAGCTACTGCTATATAAAATGTTACCACAATTTAGCAGTTTGAAGTAACTTACTGGCTCACAGTTTTAACGGGTCAGGAGTCTAGCCATGGCTTATCTGGGTCCTCAGCAAGATGGCAATGTGAGACTTGACTGGGAAAGGATCTGCTTCCAAGCTCCTGTGGCTGTAGGCATCATTCAGTTTCCTGTAGACTAAAAAATGCCTTTGTCTCTTGCTAGCTGTCCACTGGCGGCCCTCTCAGTTCCTGACCTGTGGCCTTCTCCATAGGGAAACTCACAATATGGCAGTTTGCCTTTTCAAAGCCAGCAAGGAGGAGCCAGGAAAACATTGGTTATAATCGTTTACACATAAATCACATACATCCTTTCACATTAGCCATACATTATTGGCTAGAAAAAAAAACACAAGAACCACCCCTACTGTAGGGAAGGAAACCACATAATGGCATGAACACCAGGCAAGAATCATATGGGCTCATACCATCTATTTATGCAAATGACAATCTCTATAATCTCAACCTCCTCAGAACTTCTCTTCATGTTCCCTTCAATTTCTTGCATGAGGGAAACCTGACTTTCTCCTGGTCTTCCCATTGCCCCTCTCAACCACTAACCTCTTAGATTGTGCCTGAGGGTGAGGTAGTATCCTTGCTCCTCAACACTGTGTCAAGAGCATTCCCCTCTCTCCTCCCAATTAACTTGCAGCTTTAAATTTTGTTACCCCTCATTGTTACCCTCTTTGCCCTTCATTCCCCCTGTCACCATTTGCTCCTGTCAGTCTCTCCAGTACAACTTTTGTCTTGATCCCAAGTGGTTATAATATGTACTCAGATGATCTTTCCAGCACCCTGAACTCTCTTGACATCACCTCAAAGGGTCTTGTCCTATCCTAACTCAACCATTCACTCCCATGGGTATAATTGTGGGTCCTTGTCAAATCCTGCAACTTCATAACCAAAAGTACAAACATCTCACACTGAACACCACTTATTTCCCTGCGAGTGCTCTATCTCCAACAATTCTTCAACCCACAAGTCTGCTCTCTCCCATCCTTACCCAGTTTAACCATGGACAGTCTTTACATTCACTCCTCAACCTCTTACACTTCTCTTTTGTTATACTTACTAGGTAAAACTACAATGCGATTCAAGCCAGATCGCCACCTGCTCCATGCCAGCACCCACCATCTGAAGGTAGCGAGGGAAAAACACAATTATACTGACTAGTTCACTTTAATTCCATCACCATGAACCTTACATGGGCCCTTTGTGTTGCAGAAAAATCTTACTTACCTCCTCCGCTCTCCTAAATGCCATACCTTCTCTGTCCTCTAACAAATATCTCCCTCACTAGCCTCTTCATCCTCTTTTAATAACCTTGTATCCTGTCTCACTGAGAAAACTTCCGCAGACTCCCACTAGCTCCATACCTATAGCTACATACCAACATTTGTAACCATCTTTCCAATTCACATAGATGAATTTTCCATGCTTCTAGCGAAAGCCGGTCCTGCTGGGGCAATAAGCCCCAATCTCACCTTTCCCAATCAAGATCACCACCATCACTCCACCAATTACCCCCTTCTCTCTGTTATCAATGCTCCCTCTCTACTGGGTCATTCCTACAATTTTATAAGCAGCTATTATTTCATAGAGACTCTTCTCTTTGACCCACTTCCACTGTCAGCTACTGTCCCATTTCTTGCTTCCTTTGCAACAAAACTTCTAAAAAACTTTTCTATCCTTTGGTCTCTAGCTGTTCTCCCATTTTTAGCAGTAGAATATGTGCCATATGATACAATTTAAATAAGTGTCAAAACATGTCAAATACCTTGTGTATATTAAGACTACATACATCTATAATAGAACACGTGAGATTACATATGTGGCATATTTCAGGTTTTCACCCAAGAGGGTCTCCCAACCTCTCTTAAACTCACTCCATGCATCCTTATTACTCTATCAAAGGTCAGCAATCGCCTTCGCTTTGCCTAAGTCTGATGATCTATTTTCAGTTCTCATCTTAAATGACCCATCTGGGACAACTGACACAACTAATCTCTGATTCACTGTTCCTTTTTAGCCACAGTTTTCCTCTTTCATCGCTGATCCCTCCATCCCTGTCTCTGTTCTTTGTTGATTCTATTTCTTCTCCCAGATCTCATAATCTTGCAATAGGACGAGGCTGACTCCTTGGATTTCTTGTTCCTTTCATTGATGATCTCACCAAGTCTCCTGACTTTCAATGTTTATGATATCATCATATATGATGACAACTCCCAAATTTATATCTTCAGCTCAGATGTCTTCTCTGAACTCCAGATTCTGATACTCAGCAGTCTACTGCATTCACAAATTTAACATGCTACAACCTGAATAAGTATTCTGCTTCAAACCTATTCAACCTACCAACTTTTCAATCTCAGTTGCTTATAAGTGTTTCCTTCAAGTTGCTCAGACTGAAAACCCAAATCATGCCGGGTTCCCCTCTTTTTTCTACCTCCCACGTTTAATCCAAAGAATCTCCTGCCTTCTTCCCTACTACCATGTGGTCAGAGCCACCATCATCTCACCATTCATCCTTTAAAAGTTCTCCCTGCTCTCATGCTCTCCTGATAATTTATTCTCAATATAATAGCTAGAGTGATCATTCTAAACATAAATCAGATCACGTCACTCCTTTGCTTAAATCTCTGCAGTAACTCTTCATTGTCCTTGAAGGCTATATACTTGTCCTTGAAGGCTATATACAGTAGTCTACAAAGTTCTATAAGTTCTGCACCACCATCCCAAACCTGACCATTACCTCTCTAATCTCATCTCCTGCTATTCTCCTCCTGGACTTTATTGTAGCTATGACACTTTTGTTCTTAAGTTAGGACTTTGTACTGGCTATTCCCTCTGCCTATTTCACATTGCCCCCAGATACCTGCATCACTAATTTCCTCACTTACTTTAGTCAAATATCATCTCAGTGAGCCCCACACACACACACTTTGTAAAAATTGCAACCATTCTGAGCCCTTACTCTATACCCCAACTTCCTTACCTTGTTCTAGTTTCCTATAGCTCATACAACATTTTGTATAATTTACTTATGTGTTAAGTTTATTGCTTATTATCTATCAACTCCACTAGAATGTAAGCTCCACGAGAGCAGAGATTTATCCAAGGTGTTTATTAATGTGTTCCAAGTGCCTAGAGTAGCTACTGACACATAGAGCTGTTCAATAAGGATTTGTTGAATGCATGAATAACATGTCTCATGCTTCTATGCATAAAAATGAAAACTAGGAAGAGTAGACTCTAAACCCTATTTCATTCTGCAAAAAAAAAATCCCAACATTACTTTTAGTAGTTTATCAAAATCTGCAATATTGTATGTTGTTAGATCAATTAGGCATTGTACTAATAATACAATCAAGATAATATTTTTTAAACTTAGAGACTCAGTGAAAGCTTTTGAAAATATTTTGTATGGAAATATGAAAGACTGATCAATGAAATACACTTTCCAAGCTAAAATATTATCTTAAAATGTTCTAGCACA